TGTTTTCTAGCAAGGAAAAACTAAAGGCACGTCCAATTGCAAACGAAATTCCCTTTCTATCTTTTGGAAAAAAAAAAAAAATTTTAAAAAAAAAAAAAAAAAAAAAAAAAAAATGATGTTAATTAAAAATGAACCTATTATAAAAACAATTCAATTTTTCAATCAATTCTTTTTTTTTTTTAGGAAGAATATCAACAATATATGAGCCTGAAACCATTTCAATAAAAATGAACAAATCTATAACAGTAAGATTAGTTCACATTTCCAGTGGAAAACACTCATTAGCCGTCTGGTCGACAGTGCGTTCGTTTGCAATACACTGGTTTCACCTTAATATACTAAGACGATTGGCTGAATGACAGTGTATCCGAGCACATATAAAAGTCGTAGCGTGTACGGTATGCATTTGTAACCAAATGACATAAGTTGCTCCTGAAAGAAAGTATAGCAGCGCAGCAAAATGGGCGTTATTAATTTTCTGGAGAACTCTTTTTTCGCGGGTCCTTAATTTCGCCACTTTTTTTAATGTGGGAGAAAGGGAGGTCAAAATTCATTTAAATTTCATTCGGCATTGAAAGTCCTGCAACTCAAGCGATGTAAGAGTAAAAAGCCTTGTAGGGTATCCGCAGTGTGGATATCATGGGGCAAAGCATTTTGTGTTGCGTAATAGCTGTTTTTCCAAGCTTATCACACTTCAAAGACAAAAAGAATGTCCTTAAAGCTCAGTTCTTACCACAATTAACAGCCAATAGATAAAGCAGCAGTTCCAGAAGTCTGTGTCCTTCAAATCAAGTGTAAGGAGGCCTGGGAAATAGAAAAGAAAATGTTTGCTTGCTACTAGATAGCGTTGGAAATTTTCCTCGAACAGCTTACAATATTCCAGAAAAAAATTGCAACTTACCCTACTTAACGTATGTCTCTGTCTCGGAGAAGTTGATACCCTCAATTTCGAACGTTGTTGCCTAAATTTTCTAATTCTGATGTCTAAACCTCAGAGATTTCAGGACAAGTTCAGTATACTTTCATTGAAGAGATCCTCGCATCGATAGATGTGAAAGGCTGGAAGCTATTCTCAGACTGAATGTGACTGATGGGAAATCGCTTATGACACTCCTCTCTCATCCCAGCCCAAAATTGTCGACTTCCCTGCTTAATCTCCTGTCTTATTGTAAAAAGTCCCTTGTCATTGAAATAAGATGACTTTTATAATCAAACGTACGTTAATTAGAGAGAACACGCTTTGAATGTGGCTGAGGGGAAATCGATAGTTCACAGTCCTCTCTTTTTCCCGGTATGACGTCAAACCCATTGTCGACTTCTCTGCGTAATCTGCTTTCTATTGTAAAAGGTCCGTTATGGTTGAAACTAGGTGATACTTATAACCAAACACTTCCTGACATGACCGACATGTATTTAACAGAGTTCGGCAAGGGGAAAGGAGAATTCTATTGTCCGCTCGAAACTCCTGATTATTCAAATTTAGATTGGTTCGGTATTCCCTTGGGAGATTCAACGTAAGTGTGCCTTCGTTTCGCAATTTTCTGACGCGAAAGTTTGCTTCATTTGAGGCTGGAAAAAATACGTGATACTTCAGTACAGACTCAAAACACAGTTGCATTTGCTTTAATTATCAACATATCTGCCTCAAACGTTAATGAAAAGTAACTCAAAAACTTTACCGCAATCTCGAAAAAGTTGAATTTCCAAGTGGTGCGATGCTGAGGCTTTCTGGTCATTTTTCTATATTTGGTTTGGTTTTCTTTGTGCTCAAGTCTCTTCTGGGAATTGCAAGACAATGGAGTCTTGAAAAGTTTGCAATTTTGACCCTAAATCCTCGGAGTCATGTTAGAATTTTAATTTATCGAATGTACTTTTGTAAATGAGGTTTCAAATTTAGCGCGCGTGAGAGCGAGGAAAAGTCCCGGATGTGTTCCGATACTCTGGGCGATGCAAGTGATATTATAATCAAACAAAAACACCAACAGGCAGTATGTTTTTTCTCTTTTATAGGACTTTCGCCTTTTTTTTTTTCAAACATAAAAAAGCATAAGGTGAAGGTGAAGGTGGCTCGACCCAGTTTAGCCTGCGCCACAGACGAAACTTAAAACTCTGGTTAAGTCCGTCTACCAAATAGCGCCGCCGAAATCTTGGTTCTGGGACCCCACCTGTCAATACCAGGATTTTAGTGGGCGTCATGATTGGCCTGTTAAAAAAGCCATTGTCGATTTGCCAATCAGGATGAAAGGAAATTCGAAATGCACTTCCAGTAATTCGTTGAGTCCGGCGGGTGCCCACAACAAGGATATGTCTGCGCCGCAGGCTAGACCCAGTTCTTCAGTGACGGAAACTACCCTCTATGAACACGAAGGGCAAAGGTGCTTCAAACAAAGAAACAAAGGCTTTATTTTGAAAACACTACAGAAACACCGACGTTTTCAGTAAACGTAAAGGCATGTGGCATCATAACATTACATTTTCAAATACACTGTACAACTTCCGCTACACAATTTTGTTAGATTATAAATATTATATTGAATATATCATATATATCATATGCGTATTCTTCCTTTATAATGACAGCTGCAATTACGACTGGCCAAAACTAAACGCTAAAAACCAAAGACTAATTGGTAAAAAAAACCGGATTCCTCATTAATGGAGTGTTTCTTTACCATGTCTCGGGACAGGCCGACTGAATAAACTAACAAATCAGGAACGAATGGAAGGTGAGTCAGGGGCACCCAACGGCAATTTTCGGGAAAATATCTGTTCGGAAGACGATTTGAGATCTAGAATTTTCGGAGCATTTGTTGTAAAATTTCTTGCATGCCTCCCTCTCCTAGGATTTTCGAACATCTACAAAATGGTATAATTACCCATTTTTAACGGATTTTGACCCTAAAAAAGGCCACCTAGAATTTTCGGGAGCCTTTTCCTGGCTGAAATTTTCGAGAAGGTAAGTTTATATCCCTATAATCTTCGGATCACTAGACTTTCAGCTAGGAAACCCGAACAGACGAAAAGTTTTTAGGGGATAAAAATATGCCTATATCTACCGTTTGAATACTAAAATATGTTCAACAATGCTATGTTAAGTGGTTTTGAACTATATCCTCGTTGGGTGCCCCTGGTGAGTATTATAGCCGCATGTAAGGTCATGGATTCTGGACTCCAGCTACTGGATTCCAGCAGGTAACTCTTCAGGGGAACTTGTGGATTCAGGATTCCAATCGTTAGTGGGACCCGGATTCCTTGTGTTCAATTACGCATCCCAAAGCTCAGGATTCCAGATTCCACAAGAAAATTAAAATTTCCGATGAGGAGGCGATTAAGTCCACAGGAAAGAGGATTTCCTCGCTAAATGTTTTTCACGTCCTACTTTGTCGACGGTCGAGTAGGATATTTACTTTTTATATCGTATTCGACGATTTGTTTTTGAATTAAGTGAGTACGCGTCTATAAATACACGAAAATCGAGAGAAATTACCTCATTGCCGAAGAGGAAAAACCTGATGAATATGGCACGTCATTTGAATCATCACCGAAAATAAACCGCATGCTCATCACAAGACTCTTTGCATACAACGAAAGTTTACAACAACCGACCAGTTCGCCTCATCATCAGAGCTAGTCAGAAGTTGTTTTTCTTAAACGCTAACTGAACGAACCTGTGTTATACGGTCAGTTGGCCTTTCCTTAACCCTTTAAGCCCCAATATCCACATACAAATTCTCCAAACTGATCTCTATATAGTTCCTTAAAGAATGAAATGAGAGAATCTAATAAAAGATCGAAGCATTTTTCTCTTAGGTGATCATTTTATTAATTCTCATAACCTAATCTCTTGACAATGTGTGGATATCAATCATTAGGAGAAAATTGAAGTTGGTGACTATTTGGGGGTTAAGGATGACCATTAACACAGGATAAATTGTAATTTAAGCATAAATTCATAAAGAAATATTACTTAATGCTTTCACCAATGCAAATTTAGAAAAGTCACTATGCCGTTACTCTATAAGAACTGAATGGTGAGGTCAATACATGTCTAGTTTAATAACGTACCTAATTCGTACATATATGTTATTCACCGGCTGCGAGGTCCGTATTGGGAGAAACTGTGCCCGAGGTCTTGAGTAAGGCCGAGGGCGGTACTCAAACCGAGGGCACAGTTTCTCCCAATACGGACCAACTTAGGCCGGCCTGTTTTGCTTTACTTTAGCGGTTTTCCTGGCTGAGTTGCTTGATTCTCCCTTCAGATGTTTTGTATGAATAAAAAATGCACTTTTCTCTAGCTAACGCTAATAATAGCGCAAGTTTTAAAAGAAAAATGGTTAAAAATCACTGGTTTTGCTCATTCACAAACAACAAAAAAACTTGTGAATAAAGCTGCCAACGATTCCGCCCTGGTTAGCGGGCAAGATCGTAAAAAACTGCCCGCTCTCGGAACCAATTAGATTGCAAGATTTAGAGGATTCCGCCCGCTTGCAAGCTTAAAAAAAAATAAATGTATTTATTATATTGATAAAATACTACATTTTAGCGGAGTTCCTTGCGCGCGACAGCGGATCGTCATAGCTAAGAAGATTTTGTCATCTATCCATCCGAGAAATTTGGTTATGACGTCAGCGTACGACCTCCCGTCCGTACAGACGCTGGAGGAGGGGGAAGGGAGTCACAAGTCGGCCCGTTGGGGGAGGAGTATGTTATAGCTGAGGTGAAATTTTGCACTCCAAGCACCTCGCTCGTTTCGGTGCTAAATCACATGGCCACGCGGCCCGGACTTTTGGAGGAAAAAAAACCGAGTCTTTCTTTCCACTAAATTTTAATGTCTACATTAACTTAGATAACAGGGAAAGAGCTAAAGCGAAAAAAAAAAATAGCAACGGAGACTAATTTTGTTGGAAGAAAAACATGAAAATTATATAGCGGCGGCTAGAAAATGAGAAACGCTTAAGAGAGCTTCGCTTTTAGCCCTGGCTAAATCTATATATTAACATAGAAAGGCTGTGTGGCTTCAGTCTATTAAGATTAAAATGCAAAAACCTTTTTTTTGTTCACTTCACAACGCTCACGAGAATCTACGCCATGATTGACCTAGTTTGTTCGGTCAAATTGGCTCTCGTTCCTTTTTTTTCGTTTAAATTGACCTCGACTTCGTCTCGGTTATTTAAGACGCAAAAAATAACTTGGCCAATATTCAGCCATCTTCACCGTACGCTTGGCCAATACTGAACGCATATATATTACATCTTACATTTCATTCTGGGAATAAAATATAGTAACCAGTTTAAATAAACTTTTGAGTGTTGGGCGGTTCTGGAGTTTGTTTTCAAGATTGTCTCTAATTTATAAAATAGCCTTCGTTTTCCTTAGAAAATGTTTGATATCAGTTGGTCAGTTGCTATGGTAATATATACAGTATTTTCACAAAAAATCAAAGCAAAGGACACATTCATAATATTTATGTCATGCGAATAACTTCTTAATCTGGTTACTGTATAAGTAGCCTCTCACGCAGACATTCGCTAGGCTCGTCACGCAATCAACGCGTGACGAACCCCTAAGAACGTCTGTCTGGGAGACTACTGTATAAGGTAGTTGGCTAGTTACAGTCCTGCTTGAGACTTTTTCGCGTCCGGAGGCGGGTTTTCATTTCATAATTGCCAATCCCGGAATGTCCTCCTAGCCCTCTTTTCCCTGTTTTCCTCTTACGAGTTCCATGAGCCTGCAAAACACTTGTATCAGCGGGTGGTTTAAAATCCGGCGGTGCATCCTGGGTGAGTTTAGTGGATCTCAGGTTCCTCTCGGTTGTATATCGCTCGGCATTCACAACTTGCCCATTGCGGTAACCATTAGCTACGACAAGCTCGTTTTCGCTGACTTCTTGAACGAAGTGATTGCCGTTGATATAGTTTAAGGTTTTAGTGGTCGGGTCCTCGGCTGGTCGATCATCCAAGAACTGAGCCTTTCTGCTTCCGTGCAAATAAAAAGTTCAAACATTGTGAGTTTTCTGCATACCAAGCTCATTTACAGAGAAATCAGAGTCTTCAAGTAGGCGACCTGAAACAGGAATCCTACCTTCCTCAGGCCTCCAGGCTATCAGTAGACTACGAATTCAAAAAGCGCTAGAGGTCCGAAAACTTATTCAAAACTAATATTTGATTTAAAAGGTTAAATGTCTTAGCTTAGGTTAAATGTCTTGGCGGAGTGTCAAGGTTTGAGATTTTAAAAAAAATTGCGTCACAAAAGAGTTTAAACATTCTATTTTTAAAATGGTATAATTCCCATCAAAATGTGAAAATATTTTAGATTTTAAAATGGTTAAAAACCCTTATTGTTTAATATTTGGCACTGATAATAAACTTAATTGGTCAACTTTAGGCTGCTTATTGTTATCGCTTAAACTTTCAACACAACTTTAGAATTACATCTTAATTTTTGATTTAATAAAAGGATCCTTCTGTTATAAAGAAAATGACTTGTGAGTTGTTGTCTGAGAGAAAGCAGAGATTTTAGGCAATTAGGCACTGGACTATTGGTTATGTTGAAAGGGTCGGTGTAGTGTTGTGTCAAATTTCATTATGGGACTATTTTTGGGGACCAATTTGGAGCCAGCAGTTTCCTGCCTGTCAACTTTGCAAATTAGCCAACGAAACAAGAGAAGGCTCTCTAAAACAGTCCCATGGTGCCATTCGACCCAAAACCGACCCAGACCCAATCGCCAAATGAATGTAATTTTATCGGTGTTGTTTACAGTCAACATTAACAGCCTGCTTTAACACATAGAAGCACCCTTTCTAGATTAGACCAGTTATTGATTTTTCTTACGTATCCCTTGAGCATTTTAAGTTTCTTGATAATGTTTGCCTTCAGTTTATCAATAGATGATCATCATTTACCTCACACATGAGCTCAGAGCCTTTTAATATGTAAATAACAGTTCAAATTTTTTAATGAAAAAGTATTTGACAGGTGTCACAGTTAAGGTTAACTTCTTATCGTAGGTTAAGGTAAAGACTTTTGAATAGTTTTTCAGTTATAGTAACAATTAAGTTGTGTTCATGCTGAACTTAAGTTTTTAATTTTGGCATTGTCAGCTCTTTAAAGGGTTTTTCTTTGAATGAAAGTTATTTGAAAAGAATTTTAGGATATTACTGACTGGGAAAATACGAGTCCGGCATTTTTCAATACTTAAGAAGCAAACTGGGTAGTTAAGGTTTCATTAGGGAGCTTAAGCAGCGACGTTTTTGAGCGACGCACGTCAACCGGAAGTGAGCCTTTTTCTCTTTTAATAAGCATTGACGCTACTGTATTTGTATTGCCAAGTGGCTTAATTCTTATAGAGACGATCTGCCCAAAAATTTGTTCAAAATCACGGCTCAAGAGTGCAAAAAGTCCATTTCCGGTTGACGTGCGTCGCTCAAAAACGTCGCTGTTTAAGCTCCCTATTATTACAACTCTTAAGCTTAGACTGGCTGCATAGTATAATTATATGACATGCACGCGCTGCAAAGAATGCCAACGCTACAATTATGACTACAAACAACAGGCAAATTCAGCAAAGACAACGTGACAACTTTGTTGACGTCACACACAAGCCTCTCCAATCTGCTAGCAGAGCTCTTCTTTCACTTGCCCGATCGGATTGGAGTATTCGAGATAGACTCTGCATGAATTGTGTAAGATCTTTGTTGAACATGCGCTGCTTGCTCCTGGGATATGAACTCCCGGGCCTAATAACCGTGTGCTCTGCACAGCGAGCTTAGTTGTGACCATCATTTTATTGCTAAACGGATGCTCCCACTCAGAAAATCAGTTAGACTAGCCTGCCAGCAAGCCCTCCGGGGTGCTCTGGTGGCGGGGCAGAAAAAGGAAGCTTAGGATAGCTTGCAACTACGTGTCTGGAATTTGAATTCCACTTCCAATTCCCCTGTGGCTCCCTGTCAACTGAGCTGTCAGATTTCCGCCAATCAGTGTGAAGCGGAAACTAGTGCGAGAGTAAACAAACATTGAAAAACACGTGCCAAGGGTAATGACGTCATTACTAATGTCATCTCCACCAATCAGGTGGAGACACAAAATTTGGTCGCGGAACAACGTCCACATAATCTTTGTATCTGTTACCTCCACACAGGGGAAAGGAACACGTTTTCTGGGTCGTGAAATCTGGGTTCGACCCCTATTCGGAGGACTTGCTAGCGCTCAAAACGTGACTGACCACAAAGAGGTTTGATATCTTTAAGTGTACACTAATCACAATGATGGCAGCTTTCACAAACTGAACTTCAATCGATTGTATACTGCACTTGTTTGTATTAAACATATAATGCCGCAGAGATAAGTTAATTTTTAATGATAATTTGTTTATATTGTCTTTGTTGGTTAATTATTAACAAACCCCAGCCCAACCTCTATTCAGGGGACACCTCTATCCAAGGGACACTTGCCTCGTGAATAGAGGTTCCCTCTGTATAAAGCGTCCCTGAAACAAATTAATGTGATCTGAGTCAGTTAAACAAAAAGACTGATTTCTTGATTTGTTCTTTCTACTCTACAGTTTTTATTTAGTAATACATAAATACGACCACTTGTCGATAACAAGCGATTTAAACAGTACGACTTTGTCCCGTCGAAAGGACTCGATTGGAAAAAAAAAACATTTATTACCATAAATCAAGAAATAACAATTAAGAAAATAAGACACGAGTTTTGAGATCCGTCGTGAAAATCGCGGTATTACCGATGAACTGTAAAAAGAAAAAAAATCATACGTATCACTAAAGTCTTTTTGTGCTATGAAATAAAGTAAATGACAAGCTCTGAGCCCGACAGCAAGAAAACGTAAATAAAGAAAGTTGTAATATGTAAATCCTATTTAACTATTGAGAGTCTTGTTACACAGAACTCAGTTACATGTAATAACGTATATTTGCTACAAATGCTTGCCAGGACACTCAAAGAATCTTTTCGAGGCAATCTGGATTATCATTACCATGAAAACAGACGAGTTAATTTAATTAGTGCCTGATTGCAATTCTCCTTGACCTTGAAAAATTTATACATAGTTACTGCGTTTTTTGAAAGGTTTGTGGATCTTAGTTATGATAGGAATTTTCAAGAAAAGATATACTTGTACTTTTTATCCAGGCGAAGTTACCACATATCAAATTTTGTACGATTGACTATAAAAGATATAGCAAAAAAAAATAAAAACTCCGCCTTCAAGTTTTCACTGGGTATCACTGATTAGAGACCTTTAGATTGAGGTTTCTCGGCATTTCCCGCGAACCGCGAAAGTCAAGAAGTCACGTGACCAGTGGTCTGACCGTCAGGTTTGCGGTTCAGTGAGGTTCACGTTTGTACGGCTAGACCACGCTCCAGAGGTAAGTGATTTACCTCAAGGTTTTTTGCATCCTAAAACATCACAATCTTACGTTGGAGAAGAAATACGACTTTTTAGAACTCTTTTGCTTAATGACCACTGACTTCTATTTCAAAAAAACGTAATTTTAAAGACAATATCTCAGCTAAAATAGAAGTAAGTGAGATGAATGAAAACAAAGATGGCAGCCGCGAGCTACCACCCGCGAATCTTAAGTCCCAAATATGGACAGACGGCTAGAGTGAAACCGCTGACCGCAAACCGCCGTTTGCCGTTTGCCGTTTGCGGTAAGATGGCCAAATCGATCTTTGGGTCTCTAATGTCAGCATTGTTCTCAGGCTCTTCTCCAACTCGGCCCCCGTGGCCACAGGGCCGAGTAGGAGAGAACCATGGGAACGAGGTTGCTCTTATGTTTCACTGAGACCTAAAGTCCCTAAAGTTTAAATTCATAAAAAAATTAAGTCAAGATCAGGGCCGGATCTTTTTGCTCCCTAGCCATTCTATATAGTGTTAACCTAAGCATTTTCCTTGAAACAAAAACGTTTCATTACAAATACACGGAAATCCTTCATCTGAACCAGATATATGATGACGTTTATAGAGCTGTTGGATACAATCAGCACTACACTGAAATACCTCATTATAAAATCTTGCTGGAAATCAATTGAAGGCTTGGCTACCGCAACATAGACTGCGTAATAAAGCAATGATGAATAGGGAATAACAAAAGCTAAGGTGATAATTATCAATATAGAAGTTGTTTTGATATGCTGCCATCTCATTGTCGCCTTAATGGCGTTATCCTTTTGTACATCGATCCTTCGTTTCCTCCTTTTCCACACCCTTCTGGCTAAGATAATGTTAATACAAATCAATGCAATACTTGGTATGACGTGTTGTACTTGTACATAGCCTACTACAATAGCTCTGTAAGGTAGATAACTGGTATCGTATTTACAGTCCACTGTGTAATGTGTA